CTTCAGGAAGGCGTTTGAGATCCTGAGACTTAGGGGAATTCCAACACAAGCAATAGCAAGCCCAAATACTGGTAATGAAAGTGCTCTAACATCTTGTGGAGGCCTGTTCCTGTCCTTGCACCAACACTTCTCTTCACTTGCATGGACCGGATGATGGGAAGAGCTACTATCCAAAGTTAATGTAGAGCAACACTGGGAAATATCAAGGTCTCAGACCTTGACTTTGCCGATGATGTGGCTATCCTATCTGAGTCTCTGGAATCGCTGGTGACGGCTCTTGATGCATTCAGCATGAAGCGAAGGCCTTGGGCCTAGAGGTCTCCTATCTAATGCCTTGGAGTCTCGTCTTGATGCTTTTTGTAACAAGTCCCTACGTCGGATCATGGGGTACAATTGCCAGGACCATGTGTCCAACCGACGGTCATATATATATATATATATATATATATATATATATATATATATATATGCATACATTTATACATATGTATATACATACACACACACATACATGCATATATATATATATATATATATATATATATATATATATACATATATATATTTATATATATGTTTATATATACATATATATATATATATATATATTTATATATATGTTTATATATACTCATATATACATACACACACACACACACATATATATTTATATATGTATGTATAGATATATACGTATACGTATACATATATATATGTATATATATGTATATATATATAGGTACGTATATATGTATGTATACATGCGTTTGTATATATAAATATATATATAATTATATATAAATATTTATATATATGTATATATATACACTATATGTACATATATATATGCATATATATATATATATATATATATATATATATATATATATATATATATAAATGTGCTTATATATATATATATATATATATATATATATATATATGTACATATATATATATATATATATATATATATATATATATATATATATATATATATTTATATATGTATCAATTTATATATTTATATATATATGAATTTACTATTGAGAGGTTATATGGCAGTGCCACCCTTGCCTGATTGGAAGCCCTTCCTAATCAACCGCGGTTCGGCGCGCTAACACCCGTGTCACGCAGGTGCGCTACGACACCTGCGTTTGACTTCTCATGGCGATATGTCGTTTCCTCGGGCTCGAGCGAGCAGTCAGAGCGCAGGCATTTTTACGACTGCAGCGGCGTGGAATTGAACTCGGGACCACGAGGGTCGGGGTCCAGTGCTCTAACCATTGGACGCGGGAGTCACATACATACATATATATATATATATATATATATATATATATATATATAATCATATACATATATAAACATTTCTATATATACATATAAATATGTATGTATTTGCATACATCCATATGCATATATATATTCATACACAAACACACACACACGCACACACACACACATATATATACATATATATTCATATATATGTATGTATGAGTGTATACCTATATATATACACACGCATACATATATATGTATATATGTGTGTGTGGGTGTCTTTGTGTGTATCTGTGTATCTGTGTGAGTAAATATGTATATATATATGCATATATATTTATGTGTGTGCATATATATATATGTATATATATGTGTGTATATATGTGTGTGTATGTGTGCGCGCACGCACGTGTGTGTGTGTATATATATATACATACAGAGGGGGAGGGGAAGGAAGGGAAGGAGAGAAGAATAGTTAAAGAGAGGGATTGTGTCAGTGTGCGCTGTGGTTGCATACTGTATACTCTCTCTCTTTGTATTTTATATATATATAGAGTACGTATTTAGTATTCAAAATAAACTGTATCCATAGATGAATTCATTTCTTCCTAAGGAAAAGGGGCAAATCTAATAACAAACTCCAGCAATTGTTTTATTGGCCTTGTCTTCTTTTCTTTGTATCTACAATATAAATCTTATTCAGTGACTTTGTTTGTTCAAGTGTCGTTTAATTTCATTTCATTTCTGTCTTTTGCTTTCATTTTGCTTGGAAACTTTCTAAATTGTCTCAATTCAGTATCATTTCTTCACAGTTGCTTCCAAATTTCCCTCTCGTTCCAAGACCCGCTGTCGCATTCTTCTATCTGCACCTCCTCAGTAACCGAATCAGTTAATTGATTTATGTATCAGTCAGCTGGAATCGCAGAAGGCTTATCTGGATGCCTTTGGGTTCAGGAGAAGAGCCTCTACCGCGCTGGCTTCGTGGGACGCCCTGATCAAGTTCTGAAACGAATGTAAAGGAATTCTTGTTGACAACTATAATGCTAATGATATTGATACTGATGAAGGTGATGGCGGCAAAGATGATAATGGTCATGATGATGACAAAGAGGATGAGAATGCTAATGATAATGGTAATTCATTAATGATGATAGTAATAATGACTCTAACAGACGAAAACAACAAAAAGAATGGTGATTACGAAAATGTAAGAAAATAAAGACGGTACCAATTGCAATAAAAAGATAATATATATAGTAATAGCAATCATCGAAAAAAGAATTCTAAAAATTCCTTTAGCTAATGAAACAATTATTCTTATAAACCACGCAATGCTATAGTTTTAGAAGCTACTTAGGTCATCAGGCTCTGCCACTTACATTGACCACAGCGGCGACCTGGATGAGGGCATCGACGTAGGCGCCGTGACAGCTCTCCCCCAGGGGAGCAGGTCCCTCAGGGGCCATCAGGGCCCCTGAGCGCTTCCCCTGCGGCACCCACGAGCGCGAGAAGGTGATCTGGGCCAGGCTGGGGCCCACCGCCACGCACACCACCAGCAGCAACACCTGCAGCTTGTGCATCATGACCTCGGATGACCTGAGTGGGACGCTGGAACAGGTGAGGGAGCTGAAGCGGCAGGAACTGTGCTGGAGGCGGCCACTGCGCGCCCTTTATACCGGCCCCGCCGCACGCACCACGCCCACGCCCTTGCGGCACTCGAAAGATAGAAGAAATGGTAATGCAGAGAGCGTCTGTGCAGTGAAGATATTGCTAATGTAGAAATTTCAAGGAATCTCGATAGAAAAAAAACATTAATAATGATTAACGATCACATCAAACGAAGAAAAAATCACGCCTTTCTCCTGCCGTAAAGCACAAAATGATTTCCTTATTCTATCATTATTTCATTTCAGCCTTGGAATGAAGAGCACAGAATGAATGGTCATCTCATTAGTTCTGAAACGTTCTAGTCACACCTTGCCATGAAGTATTCAGATTTGTTATAAGATATTTTCATTTAAAAGATAAACTTACTTCTTTTGGTATTAATTTTTCGATGTATTTTTGTTTCAATACTTACTTTTAATTGTTGTTTGTTTATTTGTTTTAGTGCTAGGTTTGGTTCCATTTCATACAACAGACACGAAAAAAACAAGCAGAGAAATGAAGGAAAGACAGGTTGAAAATAGTAAAATTTGAAAGAATATCACAAGAATATAAAAATAACATATAATTGTGATAACAAATAAATAAATGCTGCAAGAAATAGAATGCAGAAATTGCAGATAAGGAATATTTGAAGAAATTGAAAGAAATAAAGATATTAATATATAAATGCACACATACATACGTACATACATACATATATATGTATGTGTGTATACACATACATACACACAGACACACACACACACGCATACATATATACATGTGTGTGGGTGGGTGTAAATATATATATATATATATATATATATATATATATATATATATATATATATATATATATATATGTATATATGTGTGTGTGTGTGTGTGTGTGTGTGTGTGTGTGTGTGCATCTATGTATCTGTATATCTATCTGTCTATCTATCTACACACACACATATGTTTACATATAAGTACATATATAATATACTACTACTAGTTATACTAATGATAATGATAATAGTGATAATAGTAATGGTGATAATAGAGATGATCATAATAAGAATAATCCATAGTTAAAAATTCGCAGTAAGAATAATATCATTAACAATTTTGATACTAATAATGATGATAATGATAAATTAATAATCATGATAACGATAATTATGAGAATGATAACGATAATGGTGATAAAACTATGCCATAATAATGATGAATATGATAGTGATGATGGTGACGATGATGATGATAATGATAACAATAATGATAATACGATGATGAGACAATGTATCATTAGCTATGAATCAGCGAAATACATTTTTCTTTCTCAAATAGCTATGAAAGCTGTATTTGAATAACTAGGTAGATTAATAATAGATACGTGAATTAACTGTAGACTAGGCTGAAAGATTAGATTTTCGAAGAGACAGATCAGTGGGAAGTCGATGTGTCACGATTAGCTCAGTTGCTCTGTAGGGGTTGTCTGTGTCTCCCCCCTAGTTTGAGGGGCCGTAGGAGCCAACAAGACCTAAGCCTCCGGCCTCCTGTTCCGACACAGAGTAAATGTCA